TACAGAACAAGTGAAAAGGGATTTTATTACATGACTGAACCTGAACCTACCATGGCACAGGATTATGAAACATTTAAAATGGTAAAAGTATCCAAATTTAATTCTTTGTTCTAAATACTACATTATTTATTTCTACATGAACACTTCAAAATGGAGAGATGCTATTTCAGACTTTGGGACAAGAAAAGACCAAGAGCAGCTTGACTGGATGAATTTTAAACATATTTTCATCTTTACCTCATTAGTATTTCCCAACTTGCCCATCTAATCCAGAGTAATATACAGGAAGTGATAAAAACCAGGTGAGAATTACATCCCAGATCTGCTACTGAGCTCCTTAATCCAGGCAGGGAAAGGGAAAAGAGCACTGAACTGATATGTCAGCCATCCCCACGCAGCCTCCCTCCAAATGCGTTGGACTTCAGCTCCCATCATTCAGCCTTGCTGGATGCCAATGATGAGAACTGCAGGCCCACACATTCATAGCCATAGGGCAGCTGGTTGGGGAAGGCTGTGTTGCACATACCCAAACACCACCCATGACAGTGGAACAACAGATGTTCAATACCAAGTACACTTCAAGTTTGTAAAGTGGAAGACGTGAACTCTGGCTCACAAAAGTTTGCCAATATATATAGATATAGATATATTAGAACAAAGTCAGGTAACAACATATAAAATAAACCAGAGAAAATCCAGTATCAAGTGCGTGCAAGCCTGGGGCTATGGGCAAGTCACATAATTGCTAACTTCCAACGTCTTCTGCACAGAATGGGTCCCAGACTCAAAGCACACATACTTAGTGTCTAACCTTCATCCAAACCTTCTGCAGCCTGCTGCCACTGGAAAACCACTGGATACCACTGGAAAGCCATGTGTGTGTGTATGGTGATGAGAGGCAGAATTAGGTGAGACTATAGATGCAGAAGAATGGACCTCAAACTATTAGAGTCAGTGGAACATTACCTCCATCATATCGCATGGTATCTACGCACAAATCCCCCCAAATCCCAGAACACCCTTTTCAGGCTTCGTGGAAATACCCGTTAACACAAATATATTGAGATGAAATACCAGCTAAATGTAGAGCAATCCCAGATTATGCCACAAAAATCCTGACTAGGTTTTACTGCCCCTAGGACAATGTCACCCATTTATCCATATAAAGACCTCCTGCCTACTATTAACAGCCAGGATCACACGGGCAGACTATTCTCCATATAAAAATTGATTAAAACTTTGTGTGATGCTGTGTGTGTGTGTTTTGTGTGTGTTTTCCTTTAAATGTTAGTAAGTTTCAGAAGGGCAAGTGGGGTAGGTAGAAGAGGGGGATGAGTGAGTGGGGTGATTGGCTGGTGATGGAGAGTGTGTGGGTGGAGCTTGGAAGTGTGTGAGTGGAGAGCAGAAGTAGCAGTCAAGAGTGGACTGTCAAAAGTTAGACAGATCTGTGCTTTGTTGGAAACCTAGTCTGCAGAGGCAGCCTTCTCATAAGAATCCTACAGAGTGCTGTGAAAAGCATGTAATATTGTAACGAAGGACGTTGAATACTTGGAGAACGTATTAGTGACTAGGGAGAGTCAGAACCTATGATAAGGCTGTGATAGACAGAAACCGATAGAAACCTGAATGCAGAAGGGAAAGACTGAAGTGAGAGAAATAGAATAAAGACTAGTCAATTTTACATTTAGGAAAGACAGGAAGATCTGTGTGTGAGGAAAGTTTGTGAAGACAAAGAGTGATTAAGTCCATAACTGACAAAAATTATTATACATTATCTTATTCACTCAAGAATTGAATTATTGAACATCTTGAAACAAAGTGCTTCCTGTGCAATTAAAGTTTTATGTTATTTGTTAACTCAGAGTCATAGGCTTGGTGCCAAGAACAGCTACCCCACAGGGGGATGGCCTGAGAGGACATCCCAGACTAATGCCAGTCAAAAGGTCTGGAGACGAGACTGTGAGCCAAACAAGCTTTATTCTAGTGCACTATAGAATAAAGGGAGACAAAAGGGGATACACAGCCCAAAGCAGTGTTGCCTCTGTACATACAATGCATGTGCTTTATACCCTGTAAGCAATATACATCTGGCACATCGATACATCCCCCCTCTGCTGCTTAATTCAGAGTCCTTTCTTCTTCAAGGTCCAGCCATCCCTCAAGCCCATTCCTTATCTCCTTGCAATACACATCAGCCTTTTTCTCTCCTCCACATTCCTTCAGACAGGCTTCATGTCTCCTTTGTTTGCCTCTCAGTTTCTCAATCACTGAATTACTTCCTTCAACAGATGTCCAGAAACATTTCTCTGCAACTTTCTAGGAGGCAGATATTTATTTATTTACTTATTTATTTATTGTGTTATTTCCTGCTTTGTTCTCATACTGAACTCAAAGCAGCTCTTAGTCTTATCCCCATAACAACAGCCCTGTGAGGTAGGTTGGGCCGAGAGTCTGTGACTGGCGTAAAGTCACCCAGCTGGCTGCCTGTCTGAGTGGCTACTCGCACCCGGATTGCCTGAGTCCCAGCCAGCTCTTGCACCACACTGGCCCTCAGTATGAAGGACTATTCAGATTCCTTCTTCAACAAGGGAATGCTGTTGCCATGTAAACCAAAGAACCCTACTATTTTATTCTTTATGAAATACATAAAGTCAGTGTGTGCATTGGGCGTCATGTAACCTGTCCAAAATAAAAACTTCAAGGCTTCTCATCCTGTCCACATAACATGAGCCAGAAAATTATTCAAATCACAGTCACATTTGCAGTCTTATAAAACCGCAGATAGGTAACAAAATTAAAACTTATTCTACACACAAATTGGAATCTTAAAACTTATTTTACTTATTTAAATCTTAAAAACTTATTTTAAAACTTAAAACTTATTTTGGTACACTTGACATTGCTGCTACCTATGAGGAAAAAAAAGAAAAAAGTGGCAGAAATTGAATCTCCAGAATGCTCCCAAAGAAGCAGAGCTCTGGGGTCAAACTTTATGATTTCTTTTTTTAAATGATACTTATATTTTTAAGAAAATCCAATCATTTGGCAGCTCTTGCTGGTGAGGGGAGGCAAACAATCAGTAAATGGCAATGCCTCCTTCCTTGCCCTGTTCTGCAGGAGAGATAGGAAAATACAACAACTTCATTCCCAGTGCAAACAACACACTCACAACTCCAGTAGAAATGCATGCACAAACACAAATCTCAGAAAACTATAGCAATTTTCCAAATTTGCTTTGGAAGTGTGCCCTTGTACAAGGGTACCCTTCCAAAAATTTGCACTTGTGGGAATGCATATTCCTTCCCAATGTACCCATACCTACACTTTAGCCTGTAAGGGAATGCACATTTTAGGCATGCATTATTAAAATGCACATTTTCCCAATGTTTGTTAAAGATTATTTCATTTGGGAATGTAAAGAAGTAAAAACACAGTTCGAAGAGAAATTCAATAAACCTCAACAAACTCAAATAAAGAATGAAAATAGAGGGAACCCCCAGTGCAGCAAGGAAGCCCCTGGAACAGCACAGTGGTGCCTCCTCCTTGGAGATTAGCACCTTCTGAAGAAGAGAGCAGGGAAGCATGAAAACAGGGGAAGGCAGTGGCTACTCCTGCCTCTTCTTGATTGCTCATCTTCTCTAGATTCCTCTGCGCAGAAAGTAATGGAAGGGGCAGCCCTCTTGTCCTGTCAGTTGCATACCAGCACGGCCCCTTTGAGTGGTGCACCAGTGGGGAGGGAGCGTCACAAGATTTTCCCATGCACAACTGGGAAGAGAAGGCAAGTGAGGGGACGGATGTGGGGCCTGCTCCTCCAAAGAGCAGCAGCCTCTTTCTTCTAGATGGCCCCATTGGCCCCAGTCCATCCTGTTGCACTGAAGGAAGAGAGAGGGCACAGGAACAAGAAGAATGTTCTGGGTGGAGGCAGTGAGTGAGCAACCACGGCAATGGCAAACCTGGTTTCTTCCATCAGGAGTGAAAAGCAAGAAGCAGACTCTTCTTATTCTTCTGCTGACCTGCATGCACGATGCTGCAGCTTCTGGATGAGGCTTGTTCTATGAAACTGCATGACGTATTCATGGATTTGTATGGGAAGTCCAGACATCAACATCTTGAAAACTCCTCTGCTTCCCCATCACTTTTCCTTTTTTTAAAATGTCCATGTGGAAGGGAGCAGAGAGCAGGGATGGGCTAGTTGCCCTCCATCAGGTGCTAAGATTTAAAAAAATATCTTCATGGAGAAGACAATGATGTACGTCGAGTAGCACCCTACTAGGTAGCTCTCCTAGTGATACCTTCACAGACAGTGCACAGCAGCCCGTTCTCTTCTTTAACAGATTGTCGAGAAGGGGAAAAATGAAGCAGCAGGTGAATCTCTGGCAAAGACTTGTGTGGAGAGGGCTACTGGAGATGTTGGATTTGACCCAGTTTCTCTTAAAAGTATATGCATGTATTTATAGGTAAACCACTTAGGTATGTTATTGTATTAAGCATTATACAAGTTTATTAATACATAAAACAAACATTACCTTAGAACAGGCTCTCTTAGCCTGATTCATCTGCTTGTACACCATTAACCAGGGCAGGCTGTTTTTCATTGTTTGATTCGTTTTTTCCCCTGCAAGTGTGTTTTATCTTTCTATTGCACAATTTTTCTCAAGCTGAAATCCATCTTCAGGTTAAATCATTCACATTGTTGACATAGTAAAGCCAGTATAGGCACATAGTCTCTCCAGGGAAATGACAAAAGACCCTGATTCCTTTGTCTCATCACAGATTGTTGAACACTAGTATTAATAGATAGGATTAGCAAATACAAGCAGGCCAGGAGGTTGCAAAGCTCCTGCTTGTCTCCTTAGATTCCCCTCTGCCTTATCAGTCTTGCCTCTCAGCTTCCTTGAATATAGAGAGCAGAGGTTTTAGTAAGGTAGAGAGGTCAGTTTCTTTCTCTTTGTCCACAGAAGCAGGAAAAAGGGCAAGTTCTGGGTCAAGGACCATTGAAAATGTCTCTTCAGGTTTCCCCTCAGGCACCATGGAGGAACAACAATATCTCGTTTTTGAACAAAGATGTTCCCGTCTCAGAACAAGGAGAAACAATTATTGGCTTCTATCTCCTGGCACTTGGTATGTAGTTTGCACAGGTCGTGCATCTATGAAAAGGTTTGAAAGGGGTTGACTTCTATTAAGGGGGTTTCTTATCTCCCTTCATTAAGCCCTAAGAAGACGGCATAAACTGCCACTGCTTTCTTCTTTTATGCTAAAAACAGAATAGTGATGTGTTTTATTAAAGATGACATTCAAGTATTTCGGAGGGGGAAGAGAGGGCAATATATTCAGTACCGTGGATGTAAATTGAAATATCAAACTGTAAACTGATTAGGTTCCATTCATTTCAAAGGGATTAAACTGGCTTGAATCCAAATACTTAAGCAGGTTGCATATAATCCAAGCTTCTCTTCTACTAAACTGCAATTAAAATCAACAGGCTCCTTTAAATATTTTTCAGTTAATGAAGTTTTGGAGACTTTCAGCTAAATGTGTGCTTTGGAATCTAAGTAAGTCAAATTTAACTTGCATGGCTTATATAAGAAGAGTAGGTTGTACATCTTTAATCAAAAGAAAACTGTTGACTCCTTGGAATTTGCCAGGGTTACAGATTTTGACTTTATGAGTTAAAGTTTAGAAAGATGTTGGCTTGAAAACATTTCAAAACTTTCAGCCAAAGGCACTGGTGGAAAGAAGTTGAATGCTTTGCAGGTAATTTCTGCCCATTTGTCTGTTGATTGACTGAGTTTGTGATGGGCATCCAACTGACTATACTGTTTTGCATCCAGAGTTAGATTTAATTCCAACAGTGTGAGTCAACCAAGGAATCAGCTGTTGCTCAGGACCATGGCAACAATGATGTTGCATCACAGTGTGACAACCAAACTAAGGAAGAAATGCCAACCTGTCTTGTGCACTTTTGGCTGTTGGGAAAGTTTGGAAGTCAAATGGTCACATGTGATCACAAGGACTTTTTAGTGGAGATATCTGTGAATGCTGAGCAACTTCAGGCCTTCCATACAAAGTTAATTGACTCTCAGAACAATTACCCTGCTCATCCTCTGTTTTAGACTGCCACTTGGATTTGGCTTATGGAGCTTAAAGGATATGTTTGCTTATGTGAATTACACTTTTTGGTAAAAAAGTACCTTTCAGAATTCAGCTGGCATCAAAATACATAGCCATATATGTGGGCACAGGAGAGTGGTCAGAGAGATTAGCATTGCTCATAAATTTAACTAATATTTGAGATTTTGACTTGGTGAATTTATCAATTATTCAATGGCTTCTTCATACACTGAAGTTGGGTATTGCAGACAAAGATGATTTGGACTACAGTGACTAGTCTTTGTGAAAAAAAAATAAAGATGACTTTTATCACAGATGGACAATACTGAATATGCTACTTAGATACTTTGATTTAAGGTAATCCTTCTCAAGCTCAAGTACAGAAATATATGTCCTCAGACTAATTTAATAAATATTTCTGACAGTTGCTTGATACTCCAAAATACTAAGATTCTACATTCTGTTAACTAAAATTTGTATTTAGACTGCAGCTAAACGTAGTAATCTGATTAAACTTTGCGTATGGAGGAGTGCAACCTCATCATCCTTGCCCTTGATGCACGCAAGCCTCCAGTGCATCCTCAGAGCACTGATAGCCCTCAGTGAGGCAGACCATCGCCGCTGCCTCCAGGTCTTTCCTCCTGATTTTTACCTAAATGCCCAATTTTAGCTATCCAGATAAAGTTCTGCAGAAAGCAGGCTAGGATGGAAATAGGAAGGAGCCTCAGCCCATTTCCCTCCCCTCCTCCTGCACATGCCTTTTCTCCTCTCTGAAACCCCTTTGAATGTTGAGGGAGGCAACCAGAATGTTTCTCCCCACGCCAAGCTACATGCTGGGGGAGGGGGGCAGCCTTTAGAGATTGTAGAATATTGAAGCAGAATCAATCCTGTGACTTCCCGGTCAACACCAGGAAACCACAAGATTGCACCCTAGGTGAATAAAAGAAAGACTTCACTCAGGATCATTTATGATATGATTTCCTCTGTGTAGCATTTACTGTGTGAAAGAAGATCAAACTATGCACCCAGGAGATTAGATACTTTAAAAAAATACCCTACACTTCTTATTTAAAAATAAAATGACTGCAGTAGATTCTATGACTGTATGATCATGTTAAACAATTAAAACAATTTAAAGTGTGATAAATGTTCATTTTCTAAAGCAATGTTTAAAGTATTTGATGTAGTTTCACCTACAATCTTACTGCAGAAAGACAGTTGGTTACAGCATTGCTCTTTTCTGCCTAAAAGCATGCTTTTAAAAATTAGTGAGTTAGAAGTTTCTTTTACATAAGATAAAGTCTGCTTGACATTAATTCAAAAATGTTTTCAGATAGGAGTATTCTATTAAAATTAATTCACACTGACATGTGAAAATAATTTTGCATAAATTTAAGATCTCCTTTATTTAGCAGGACCAGAAAGGATCGCGTCTGATTTATAAATGCAGTGTTACAAAGTATCCAAGATGCTAGCCTTAAAATGAAGCCCCACAAGTGTCAGGTGGGATATTTGGGTCACCAGATTAGCCAGCAATTTCCAAGCCTACCCAGGCACACTAAAGCTATTTTGCATTGACCCCAACTCTCTACCAGAGTTATTGGTCTTGCATAATCTGAAAGTGTTTTCTGGAGCATGTTTAGCAATGACAGCACCCCTTTTACAGACCTGTGTGTAAAACAAAACAAAACCTGCCTGGAAATCATATATTGATTGTTGCATCTGTAGTATCCACCTATAACTCACCCATATTGTCTCACCGCTTCTTCCATCCTTCTACTGACCCATCCAGAGAAGCTGATTGCCAACCACAGTGCATCCAATTTGTCTGGTTTGTGTCTTTCAGCTCGTTTCCATCAACCATTCCAAGACTGTGTTTAGCTACCTGTTCGCCAGCCTCCCTGAAATAAGTAGATGGAAATGAAAGGTAGAGCTGAGCTGTATCCGCATGTTGGTGACATTTCATGTAGATATGAAAAGTCATGTGGGAGAAGCTTAAGATACTGCATAAACCATGGACTATAGAATAGAGCAACAGTCCCTCAGCACCACTTTCTGGGACCAATCCACCAGTTCTAAATTTCCACCATGCCTCCCAGGCTCTGTCCAAAGAGATATCCCAATATAAGATACTTTGTTCCTCTTCAGATGTTGATATTCCTCCCAAGCCTTGGTGCATCTCCCCTTTGTGCTTGGATTGTGCATGTTTTGGTTTCACACTTGGACAGTAAGTTCTCTATTAACGCGCTGAATCCAGTTAAGAAAAATAGGACGAACCTCTAACACCTAAAATAAATACTGCTACTCTGAACTATCAAGGATCAGATAAACTGAGGAATGTTCAAATTACCCCAAAACAGGAAACGTTATTCAGTAAGGATTCTCTGAACCATGAAAATAGGTGTAATGCTTATATAACTCATTTCTGCTTAAGTTGGGGGTGTTTTGTGGGTGGGTGTGTTTTCCAAAATGCTTTTCCTTGTCTTAATCAGTGGAATAATGAACTTCTACTTTGAGTGTCACTTCTTGCAATCACTTGCTGTATTAAATGCTTGCTTAGCCCTACCTCCTGTTGGCAATGGCAAGGATTTTACTATCTTCTGAGACTCCAGAAAATCTAGGACTTTTCTACACAACACTGTTAATCCATTGCATCTACTTTTATTTTATCATAGAACTGAGATCCATGCACTATACAGGGTGCATTTCCTTTCCTGCTTTTCCACTACATCACCTCTAATTTGTACTGTGGTAAAGACGATATTACAAATGCAGAACTGGAAAAAGCATTTTCTTTCACCTTAATGCATAATATTGCATTTTCCCTGCTCTAACATAACTTGCCAAAATTATTGCTTAAAAAAACGAGAGAAACCGGAATGCTCATGATGACAACTACTGAATGTGTGACTATCAAGGCATATGGAATGACAAGAAAACAGTAAAGCTCCTAATGTTATCCTGGCAAGAGTAAATTGATTTAAAGTATAACCAGTTGCACCAATTAATTTTTTACTTTTAGATCACTTCCTGAAGCACAGGCATGATTTTATTTGCCTTTTTATTTGGCAAGTAGTAATGGATGCGTGGGACTGGAGCAAGATGCTGCAGTGTAGTCTGCTCTTGCTAAGACAGTGAGCACACACAAGTGTTGACACTTGCGTTCCAGTGGGAAGATCAGTGGCCTTCCGGAGGAGTAGCCATTCTCCACTGTTGCAACAGGAACAGTGAGGAGACTCGTGGCAACTTTACTAGCAAGAGCAAACCATTTTAATTCTCTGACTTGTGCATATATATTTGAATATCCCCGGGATGCTCATTTGCTGAGTACGAACATTTTTTATAAGTGCTATTAGATTTCTGGACCAAAAACTTTACAGCACAGAACATGCTTTGGAAAGCACCCATTTTGTACAAACATACTAAAATGAAGTGCATTTACTGAGCATTTGGTCTTTCTTACTGAGGGCTGTTTATGAGCTTGCTTGCTTGCTTGCTTGCTTGCTTGCTTTCCAGTATTTTTATCCCGTCCTTAACAATGTCTCGAGATAGTTACAATGGCTTACAAGTTGTAAGACTTACAGAACAAATACAACAAACATAATAAAATAAAATAAAGTGAAATGTGACTAAGCATGACCATTAAAAACTAGTTAAAATATTTAAAAATTAAAATGCCAGGCAAATAAAAATGTTTTTACCTGGCACCAAAAAGAATATAACATTGGTGCCAGGCAAGCCTCTCTGGGGAGTGCATTCCACAATCAGGGTGCCACCATGGAGAAGGCCCGCCTCCAGGTATTCACCCTCCTAACCTTTAGATGATGTCACAACCTAAAGTTTTGCTTCCATTTTTAAGAGCACTTTTTAAAAGAGCAGTCTAAAAAGAGCAGGGGAAATGAAATATTACTTGCAAAATAAAACACTTTTTCCTGTGTGTGTAATTGTTCTGTGACACAAGTGCTGCCTAGAAATTATGTGGCAGAAGAGCAGTAATGGAAAGCCTCATTGTATAAAAATCAAATCTCAAGTCTGCAAAGAAACCAAAAGTAGATTCAAAAGATTAACACCTCATGTATAAGCCTACTAGTCACATTTTGAAATCTATACATTAACACTGGACAACACTGGACATAGAATCATAGAATAGTAGAGTTGGAAGGGGCCATGAAGGCCATCAGGTCCAACCCCCTGCTGTTGCAGGACACCATGTTATACCATCCCACTCAGATGGCTGTCCAGTTTTGCCTTGAATGTCTCTAGTGTGGGAGAGCCGGCCACCTCTCTAGGCAACTGGTTCCACTGTCATATTGCTCTGACACTGAGGAAACTTTTCATGATATCTTGCCTGAATCAGGGTTTGTAACTTGAACTGATTACTCCATGTCCTACATTCTGGTATCAGTGAAATGAGATCCCAAGTGTCCTCTTTGTGACAGTCTTTGAGGTTCTTATAGTTTCATAACACTGGATCATTTTTGTCGCCCTCCTCTGGACCCTTGCTAATTTTTCTGCATCTGTCTTAAATCTTGCTGCCTAGAACTGTGCACAGTGTTCCAATTGGGGAGTATACGGGAGCTAATACTTCTCGTAATTTGAAAGTAATACTTTTATTAATGCATCTCAAAATAGCATTTGCCTTTTGTAGTTGCCTCACATTGTTGGCTCATATTTAGCCTGTTGTTGACAATTATTCCGAGGTCATTTTCTTTTTCAGTTTTGTTGAGTCACATAGTCTTAGAAACATAGAAACAGAGCAAGTCAGAAGGGGCTTCCTGGGCCATCTAGTCTGACCCCTGGCTCCAGCCGGCTCCACTCATGGCATACCTAGCACTTGCATGTCCAGCCTATCCTTAAACACCCTCACCAATGGGGCTTCAATGGATCTTGTATTGGTGCATTTAGTTTACCTTTCCTAGGTGGAGGACTTGGCACTTGTCCCTGTTGAATCTCACTCTGTTGCTTTCAGCAGAGCATTCCAGTTTATCAGAATAGCCTTGGATCTTCATTCTGTCTTCTAGGGTGCTCGCTATTCTACCCAGTTTTGTATTGTCTGCAAATTTAATTATTTTCCCTTGTACTTCTTCATCTAAATCAGTAATAAAGATGTTGAAGAGAACTGGGTCCAAGACTGAACCCCACAGCTCCCCACTAGTTACCTCCCTCCAGTTTGAGAAGGTGCCCTTGATGAATCCTCTTTGAGCCCAATTTAGCAGCCTATGTTGGATCCACCTAATAGTTTTTCTATCTAGTCCAACTTTGCTAATTTGCTTATTGGAATGTCATGGGTTAGGGTTAGGGTCATGGGGCACTTGATAGCTATCCATAATATAAGTACAATGGCTAACTCTGGTACCTCTTCCTTGAGGAACACCCTAGATCAGATGGCAGAACCTAGATTGTATCTATAGGTGGAGTGGCATGAAAGGAAGGAAATCCAAAGCTTAGCACAGACAGACAGACAGACAGACAGACAGACAGAAAGCCAAAATCACCTGAAATACTGTAGCTTTCAAAAAACAGCCTGATCTCACAAAGCACTCCTGCTGCTCAATTTATCCAAGCCCATTGAAGGACAAGCCACCAGTGGCTATATTACCTCCAGCATCAGAGGCAGTATCAGATGTTCCTCTTATGCCCTGCTTGTGGGCTTTCCCCAGGCAGCTGATTAGCCATCATGTGAAAAGAATATTAGGCTAGATAGGACTTCAGTCAGATTCAGCAAGGCTTTTCTTAAGTTCTTGGCATATTATTAGTCTTTCACCAGTAGCTACATAACCTCACAGATGGAGTATCTTAAGTTGTTTCTTCCCAGAATCTGATTTTCAGATAAGAATAGAGGCTTCGCTCAGCTCTCACACCTTCACATTGAGGACTATCATAGGACCAATTGTTCTGCAAAAGGTCCCTGAAGAATTCTTTGTAGCTTATTATTACATGCATCTAATGGAGAGATTAACGAATATACTCAAGCTCCCTCAATCCCCCCAAATGTGTTAAACCTTTAGATGGTTGTAAGCTTCTTGATAAGCAGATGGTCCTCATCTGCAGGCTGGGAATATAATGTATAGCTTTCTAAATCCTGTCTAGAAATTTATGAAGGCAAGACATTATCCCTTGAAGCTAGATTGAAGCACGTACCTCGTCTCAAATGGACAAACCTCAAGAAGATGCAGAAAATAACTAATGAAACACAGGGTGAAAATTATTATATGAACCACCCTGAAGGCATCAGCTATTCAGCAGTATAGAAATGCAGTCAGTCAATCCATCGATTAATCAAATAATGCCTGTATAATATGCATGACTTGAATAAATGCTATAGAAACACAGTTGGGGTTATCTGGATCTGTTTAGAGCTAATCATGAACTAGGAGTGCATTTCATGTATTTGCTCTATGAACAATGTCTTACTTGGCTATCCCTATTATCTCTAGTATTCATAGCTTTTGTTTTCTATTGCAGGTTGGATGTCTTGGTTTGGAAACAGCATTGTAATTTTTGTACTATATAAACAGAGAGCTACCCTTCAGCCCATGGATTATCTCACATTTAACCTGGCTGTATCCGATGCCAGTGTCTCTGTCTTTGGTTACTCTCGTGGTATCATTGAAATTTTTAATGTATTCAGAGACGATGGATTTCTTATCACATCAATATGGACTTGTCAGGTAAGAGCTAAATGTTGATGAATCGTGCAGTCACGGGAGGCAAATGCCACACAATGTAAGGCCTAGCACTGGAAAAGCTGAGGCTTTGATTGTGCACTCACCACTCCTAATCATGGAAGATGACTGGTGCTTTATATGACATCATCAACCTTCAGTATTTCTGACCACTGTCTCTAGTTTCTTTGTGGGTAGGCTGTGAAAATGCAGCCTTTGTTGGAACCATGAGGCAAAGCAGAGTCTCTACCGGGGTGGTTGCATTGTGGAGAGTCAGTGTGGTGTGGTGGTTAGTGTTGGACTGGGGACCTGCAAAACCTGGGTTCTAGTCCTCACTTGGCCATGCAGCTCACTGGATGAGTTTTGGTCACAGGGTTGTTATTGTATGGATGAAATGGAGCTATGTAAGCCACCTTGGGTTCCTCATAAGAAGAAAAAAGGCAGGATATAAATGCAAGGTAATAATAACAATATTGATTTTTGCTTTGGTCTGTTACATCACAGCGGTACCTAGAAGTGATGTATAGAAAGGCAGGAAAAGGAAAATAGGGAGGGAAAAAAGAATCCAGAAGCAGAGGTACCATGTTGAAAAGCCTCATCTAGAAAAGCTCCAGATGCAGATGAAATGCGGCCAGTCTTGTGCATTCGTTCCTTGTCTTTCCAGTGCAAATGTTCCCCATTCTTTCTGTTTGTAACCTCACCCTTAGCTATGGTGCCCAGATTCATCTGGAGCCAAGTCTGACATTGCCTTGAAAACCCTGGTTAAGAGAGAACTTGGTTAGTACTAATCATGATTTGTGTCAGGTCAGATGTGATGCTAAACTTGGCACATGCGATCTGTGACTCACAAAGGTAAATGCAGTTCATTGACTATATATAGTGGCCTACCAGGCAGTCAGTAAATGTTCCATGTTACCATGAGTGCAAAATCAGGAGCATCGTGAAGCACCTGGCAGGTCAGGACAGGTGGTGGCTGGGCTGGGTCTGCTGCATGGATGGATGCAGCTCTGCACAGAATCATGATCAATGCAGAGAAGAGTGGGATGCATTCATGCCAGCCAGAGGGGAATGGAAACTCATGAGCTCACAACCCAACAACCCATTTCTTATCTGTAAACCCAGCAGTCTCTGAAGCAATATCTGAAAGGACCATAATATCGAGTCATCCATGAAGCTCTCCATTCCTTGCCCCATCACAGATTTATTTCTAATTTTAAAAACTTTAAAAGATTAAGCATTAGGTTCTTGTTCTCAAATTCACCACTGAACAATTGCTCAGTGGGCAGAGAAAGAAGGAAAAAGGTGCTTCCTGGACCCACTCAATCTTCTTTCGGCCTCGTTGCCCCCTCTGTCCCTGCACCCCATCTCTAGCCTTGTTATTTCTGTATACCCTGCCCTTTTCTTCATATTTTCTCTCCTTTTCCTGACCATAATAATCTTCTATCCTTTCTTTCCTAACTCCAACCTTACGTTTTCTCTTTCATTCACCTTTTATCTTACGGTTTTTCTCCACTCCCAGCATCTAGCCTAGCCATTTCTCCTCCGCCTTTTAAACTAATTGTTGGTCCCCTTCCTAGGCTGGATCTTCTCTCCTCACCACCCCTTTGCTTTCCGCTATTTCCCCCTTGCCGTCCTATTTCCACTCCTCTTAACTAGCTATGATCAGCCATTATGAGTCACCACATCCTTCCACAGAACTTTTTTTTTTTTTTGGTGACACCCACAGCAGTTTGTTGAATTGCCATTTATGCCCACAAATTTTAAAAAAAAAAAATGCGGACCCTGACTGGCAGGTGTACTGGGTCTCTGTGTGTATGGTATTCTTTTTTATTCCTACTTAATCTTATTTTCCTTTGCATCCTCTTTATTGTTGTTATCCACCATGTGACCTTATTGTCCTTGAAGTGGTGCCTGAAGTGTCCCTAAAGGAAAGCACTTGTTACTTTCATTATGACCAATTGGAGCATTAATTAAAGTGTTCAGCATTGGTACATGTGACTAGAGGTGGGAAAACATAAATGCCTTCAAGCCAACAAAGCTAGCTTGAGTGTGGGTTCTTGTTGAACCATGGTTTGTTAAACCATGAGCTATCATGTAGCCTGAATCTAGCCATGCTAATAAACCATGGTTTGTTAATCATGAACAACCCATGAAGATAACCCTTGTTCGCAGTTGGGTTGTGAGCTGTGGGTATTTCATGGTTAACAAATTCTGGTTTGTTAGTGCAGCTGGATTCAGACAACATGACTCTGCAATGCTGTTTGAACCAAGTCACGTAAGAATCATTTAAGAGGAGCCTCTCACAACACCAATGGCAGGAGATAAGAAAGGGTTCTTTGCTCAGCAGAGTGTTCTTGCTTTCCTGATCAGTACAGAGCACTTGCCTGACATGCTGACGGTCCCAAGTTCAGTTCCCTGCATCTTCAGATAAAACTGGAAAGCTTCCCTGTCTGGGGCCACTTCCAGCACTGAGCTAATTGAACTTGCTCAATATCAGGCAGGTTCTTAGATTGCAGAAAAACTCAAGCAAGTAAAGCCATGGGATCTTACTCGCATATACAATTTACTCAAAATATGATTCTCTTTTATTGGGGGGAAATTATATTTAGATAGGAGTGCAGCTAAGTACCTTTAGGCTCTGTAGATAATGCTTTTAGAAGGCATTTTTAAAAACTCTGCACATTTGTAATTTCCATGTTAAAGTCACATATATCATAATGAAAATAGGAATACAGTGGTGTTTGCTGACCAGATGCTGACCTGTTTGCCACTGTCCCAAATACCTGTCATGCCTTGGTTAGTAATTGAAAGCCCCTCAGGCTGTCCAGCCCAAACTGTTGGTTCAACCTGAATGGAAGCCTGCAAATTCATTACCAGCTCTAGCTGAAGTTTGAAAACCAAGCAGGCGATATTGCCAGTTTGAGTGTGGCTTTTTCAGGAGGTTGCACATTTATTTGTTTATATTTTAGCTTTTTTCCTGCAAGGTATCCAAGGTGGTTTACATAGTCTTTCTCATCTCCATTTCACTTACAAGTTATGGTATCATATAATCTTATTCCTTTAAACCAAATAGTGCCAAATATGTCAGAATTTGGATTTTAAAAGCACTTGCTTTTGGCTAAGATCCCGTGTACAACTAGGCTGCCAATCTGTATCAGTCACTTGTTTCTGAAATCCCATTGAAGTCAGTAAGATTTAAGCACCTGATCTGAGTGCAGGATTCCAGCTACTCACTTTTGCAAAACACTTCCAAATGGGTGATTTGTTTCATAGTCAAAGTCTCACTCTACTTTGCCATAAAAATCTAGGGTAAACTCTACACATGTGTAAGATTACATTGTTTAATAATAGAAATCAGAACTGATGGAAATGCTAAAACACATGTTCCATTATTAAAGTTTCATGAAAAACTGTTAGTCAAGGGACTTTGTAAATATTTAATTAAAATAAATGCCTGTAGCAGAACATATGAGAACATTGTCCATTTTTATATTAAAGAGCTGTTGTTGCCAACATTTCCTGAAGGAGTAGCATAAGTTAACTACCACCTAATTTGTTGAGTGATATTCTGGCTATGTCAGATGACAGAAAAAACTGTGTCCATCTACTGTCAAGGCTTGTTTGGCTGTTGCCTTAACTGGCTTTAAAGAACAAACTTTTGCCAATGCTAACATTCATGTTTTAAAAATATTTTTAAGCAGCAACAAGGAAATTGAAAATGTGGTGCACAGTCATAGCATGCGATCAGGTTTTAATGAGAGGTCCAGTGGCAATATTTTGAAATGAGTGATAACATTTTGAAAGAAACACACACAAACATATGCACACATGAATACATAATATGACACTATGTTTACAAAACATCTTTTGCACTTAAACATTAAGTAATGCATATTTTAAGTTATGTTCCTTGAAAAACAAACATGATGTACATGAAAAAGAGCTCATTTACCCAATGATCTGGGAATAATGTCTAAAGATTCATTCATAAGATCTTCAAATAAATGAGAATTCTAATTCAGTATGGGACTACAGACATTTGGACCTGTAAAACAACCAGGCAGAAATAGCAGAGTTTCTACACTACAGATGCATTCATATGTCACAACAATCTACCTGGGCAGATGATCAGGCTCACTGTGAGTTGTTGGTCCCCTTCATCCTGCTTCTCCCCCTTTGGTCCTCCTGCAGCTATGCCAGGGGACACCTCAAGGGAGTTGAGTTGTCTCTCTGCTCCCTGCCACAATCACAAGCTGTTTCAGGCCCACTGCAGCTTTTTTGCAGTTAAGCCAGCTGTCGCGGTGGCTTTTGTGATCCCCATTTTGATAGCTGTCGCAGCAAAATGCCCCAGCAGCACTTTGGAGGAGACTGTCCACACTAGCCAAACACACACACATATATGCCAACCCTAAATTTGCAGGAATAAAGAACCTTGGGTGGGCAATGTGCAGTTGGAGGCCTCCTGAAAAGTATCCGTCCTGGGCATTGACCCACAAAGGCTTTAGGTAAGATTATTTCTCATTTGTTTCCACCTGACAGCTGTTAAAAGATGAGCTGTCAATTGTATCCAAAGGCACGACTGACCTTTGCTTGCGAAAGGGTGGCGTGTCATTAAACTGCTTCATGGCAAGGTCCCATGGTGGCTGCTGCTGCTGCTGCTGCTGCTGCTGCTGCTCCTCCTCTTCTAATCATGTATGCAAAGTCTGCCCTCATTTCTGTACTTGTTCCTGAAACTCTGCCAATTCAGAAACAGACAAAAGTGGGAGCAGCTGTATGTACAGGAGCCATCCCTTTGGCTACTGTCAGGGTGAAGCTTTATTTTTCAAGTTGGATTTAGAAAGCAAATTGGTAAAAATTCTTTTGGGCCAGGAAACTATACAGTTATAGAAGGTCTATATATCTGTATACCTTACTTCCAAAAAACCCCTACACCTCTGAATGGGTTGACTTGCACTTTTGCATATTCCTGAGGTGGCATCAAATCCGTCTTATGTTCGCATCTTATACACATGTCTAACCCAAACTTGTGTTCCATGCTACAAATAGATTCAAGCATCTCTCAAGTCCAGTGCCCTACTTTTGTAATCAGGTACCCTTTCAGACTGTGGTTCAACGGGGCACATGGGCCTCCAAGAAACAGCTCCCTCACTGGGCATGTGGATCCTTTTGCCTCAGTATAATTGGACAAGGTAGACTAATGAATGTCAGCTGTAAAGGAACTGACAAATCCAGTTGACCCTAGAATGTTGGTTGTTTTTTTTAAATCTCGAGACAGAGAATAAGAGAGGGAGGGAGGGAGGGAGGCCCAGAACCCACAAAGGCTTCTGTCCTAAATGTGCTTACTGCCTCAGGGAACACCATGGGACCAGGTGAACATTTTTAGGATTGCATTCACAGTGACCTTCCTGTTCATTGCATGTCTTGTCTTTGCAAAGATTCAGCATACTCAGGGGAACCCCAAGCATCACAGAAGTGCAAAACACGGTTTTAAAAAGCATGATGGGATAATCCTTCCCCAAAACACTCCAATGAAAGCAATGCATGCTTAGTAGCCATGGGAGAAAGAGTGACCGTTGGAAAAGAAGAACACAACATGGAGCTGAGGAGTGGAAGGCTCTGAAAGGAGGGAATGGCTGATGAAAAGCTCTGCACAGGAGCACTTCTTTTAGAAGTGATGCTTTCCTGCAGCCCACTGGTTTCTGCCAGTCACCCAGGACTAGCATAAAATGCAGGTATACAGGTCATAGCTGAAATACAGGACATTCCTGGAGATCCATGCCTATATATAGTTTATTATTCCTGACATTTGTGTGAGATGGAAATAACTGACAGCCAGTCCATGCATCTGACAGCTCTAAGAGCATTAACAGATAAAACAGGTGGTAACAGTGATGCTTATTCACCTCACCTCAACATCCTGATTATCTAAAAATGGAGTCTTATCAAACATCAAGGCTTAGCCAAAAGCAGAAAGGGAAACCTAAAAGGTGTTTCCTTCTCTAACATTTTCTGTTTCTAACATTTAGATAGGGAAGATGGTCTGGAAAGACTTGCTCCCTCCCAGAACTTCTGCTTCAGTACTTGTGGTATTACAAAGAGCAAATGTATGGCTTCCATGAAAGGAAGAGATCTGGATCTAAAATTGTCTATCACATCATGAAGTAAGAGATGGCCTGAGCATCTAATCCATTTACATATATAAATGCATCCCACAAGTAGGGCTTAGGTGTGCAGATTGATAGTACCAGCATTACTGAAACACAGTTTATCTCATGTCCATATTAGTACTATTTAGATGTGATCTTCTTTATGCAGCTAAAATGGCAGCACCCAGGAGGGAAATATTAGCACTGGCTTCAGGAACTCCAACCCCAATGAAAGTACAAAAAAACTTTAGAAAGAAAACCCTAAAAGGAGGGAACCCAAAGAAAACACACTGAAAATGAGGCCTGTTCCTCAGCAACATCATGAGACTGAATGTTGAGAGGGAAAAGACAGGGAAATGGGTAAAGTTAGAATACAAGAGAAGGGCTAGACTCCATAATGGGGACCATCCCACACTGTTTTCTGCAGATCCAGCTTGTTTGTGGTATATTTTGCTTTTTCATCTGAGTAGCTTTTCCTCCTATGGTTTGAGGGAACTATTAGGCCAGACCTACATGAATTAATATCTATATTTAAAGAGTCCCTGCAATTAACAGATTTAATTTAAATTTCAGAAAGAATGTCTATGCTGCCTCCCACTCTGGGATTGATAGAAGGCCACTTTTGCCCTTTGGCTGAATGGGGTAGAATCTGAGAAGGAATCAGCAACAACCACACTCCAGCATATAGTTAAGAGCCACTGATGTCAACTGGACATGAATGCAGATAACTGCCTTGAACTGTGCCCCAATCTTTATCTATCAATTCTCTAAAATACGCTCCTGAGTCTCACAGTTGTGCAAGTGAGCTACTTGGCTTTGTTAGGCCCTACAACTCTCAACACCACCCCCAGTCAAACAAAAGAGATCACTGAGTCTTCCATGATTGTCAGACTGGGAAAGTGGAGGCTGCGTAGATGATTTGAGGAAAAAAAATACCCTACTGATGTGTGCACACATTCTTTAACACACCCTGTCTTCCCCTGTCATTCATGCAAACAGACCATAAAATCTCTTGATACAGAAATTATGTTAAGGAAAAACAGAATAGCTGCACCTTGTCAACTGACTGGTAGTATTTGGAGCCCTTCATCTTAAAGCACTGTCCATCAGTCTTCCCAAGACTGCCAGCTATTACCTCACCTGGATTTGATGAAAGGGAGAAATAGATCTGGGTAGATTGATGGTGCCTCATTCCACACCTCCAGATAACCTCTTCCAGTGGTTTCACATAGTTATTCAACTCCAGGCAGGAGAAGAATGGACTCAAGAACCCCGTGGTATAACTCCACAGAGTAATAATCCTCCCCCCACCATCTTCTGAAATTGGCCATGCAGATAGAACCACTGCAATAGGACCAACCCAGATAACCTATCCAGAAAAGCTACCAAGATGTCCAAGAGAATCAACAAGGTCACAGTCTCCCAGAAAAGGTCATCCAATAGGGCTACCAAGGCAGTTTCCATTTCAAAATCAGGCCTGAGGCCTGACTGAAAAGTATCTGGCCATTTCATTGAGGGTGCCTGGAGCTGACTGGCAAGCACCTACTCAAGCAACTTGCCAAAGAATGGAATATTGGCTGTGAGCCTAAAGCTGTTATCATCATCTGCACCTGGTTGAGGTTTTTTTTAGGAGTGGCCTAATTGCAATCTCCTTTAAAGAAGGTGGCATCTTTTCCCAGGATGTTGTCCTCTCCATCTCTGCCCCCAGTTTTATCCTGACAGAAATTCTTGAAGGCACATTAGACTCAGAGGTTACCAAGAGAGCTTAAAATATTTGTGTAATTGTGCTTAAATTAAATGATATTTTAGCTCATTCTAAAATGATTTTTAAAACATGTCCTTTATCTTAAAGGAGTTGGGCTACAGTTGAATCAGTACTAAGCTTGTTTAGCCTGCCTCACTGATTAAATTCAACAGCTATTAGGAGTTCTCAGCTTTGCCTGCTTCATGTGCTTTCTCCCTGCATGGAATTCTTTTCTTCTTTACTTTTCACTTCAGCAGCTTGGGAGTTTAGGAATGTGTGTTTAAGCATGTGCTTGCTTGTTCATTTATTCTACACCTCAGCCACATCATGGCACTCCTGATTTCTCAGAAGTCTATCTGTTCACTGATCATAGGGATGATAACTTCCCTTGACATGTGATATTTCACTGATACTAAAATGCCTGAAAGAATATGAGATCACTGGAACAATGTGAGTATTTGTTATTGCTCTTGGCGTTCTCAGGCTGTGCTGTGGCAACCATTCCTTTGCTGTTTGTTTTTCCAGGTGGATGGGTTTCTAACGCTGCTGTTTGGTCTTGCTAGCATTAACACACTCACAGTGATTAGTGTGACTCGCTACATAAAAGGGTGCCATCCTGATCGCGGTAAGACGCTTCATGGTCTTGTGCTATTAAGGCTTGATTTCCTAGCACATGTGTATTCATCTCTAAGGGCTTTTCTATACAAGGTACTTATTGTGCTCTTGCCATTATTTACTCATAGTTCTTTATGGATTTTTAGACAATATTGTGACCCTCCAGTTTAACTCTTGTGTCTAACAAGCATTTTCAGTTAGAGTAATGAAAAGGCAGCTTTTAATCATAAAAGTGAAAGAAAGTGTGACTGCCTCCGGAGTGTCTGCACTATGCCATGGCGCCACCTGGAGGATATCCAGTGGAAAATCAGGAAAGGAAGGCTGCTCTTTCAGTGCTTGCATTTCAGTTCCGTCATGAGACTGAAAGTAAATTCAGAGGATTAACAGCCAGTTAGCAGTGTCCTGTATCTTTTAGTACATTATAGTGGCACTATTGAAAAGGTTCTTTATAAAGAATTTAGGCTATCCACATTCTTACAGTGTGTTACAGACCCATTGGTATGCCATGATAAAGCATAGTTGATTGTTACAGGAATGAGTTGCAGTGAGCCTCAGGTTCAGACATGGCCCCTTCCCTGGTAAGGCCATAAAAAGATTGGAAATTTCCATTTTAGAAGCACCACAGTCAAGTTTGAAAAATTCAGGCAAACATGCTGTTTTAAGTATGATTAATTGAAACAAGCCAACTACAAACCATAGTTTGTGAACCATGGTTTGTTTCAATTACCCAAGAGTTTAGATTAGCTACAGTTTAGGGTTTGGACACTTGTGGTTAACTACCTTTTCTTGGCTACACCAGAGTGGGAGAGGGCTTTTAGCAGCGAAGGCACAATCCTCCTCAATGCAAAAGAATATCTTAGAAATCTTCAAGGTGGCAGAAAGGTGAGAATAGCCTTGAAGTATTGGTGCCACAAAGGGGAAATCCACCTCACCACTGAAGGAATCCTTTGCAGCCTGCTTTCTTTGGGGCCAATTCTCCCCATCCTTTCAGTGACAAAGGGCCAACCTTCTCATGGTGAAAGCAATCCTGGAGTGGGCAGAATGCGCTCTGCAGGATGCATGAGTCTGCCCAGTCCCACACACACATTTAGTTCCAGGCTGCAGAGAAGCAGGCAAGAGACATACCCTCCCTTTCAGTCACTTGAACTTGCAGGCCAGTTGCAGACTTGCATTAACATGTCCAACTTTTGTCCTTGGCACTTTCTGGCATGGGGTGCAGGCAGGCGGGCAGGACATGCTTTTTTCTGAACGCAAATATTTTCCAGCAAGAGTAATCAATCAGTCCATTGATTGAGGCCCTTTTCTGCTTGGTTGCCCCCAGTCTGGGCTTTCAGGATGCTTGAATTTTACAAACAGGAAATCAGCAGTGACTGGGGCTCTGATGTCAGTGGGGTAGAGTATCCATTCCAGCTTTCAACCTGAGCATTAAAGGAGCTATCCATAGTGCTGAATCCATGTTGGTAATATGTTCCAATATGATTGGAGCACCATTAATAGTTCCTTTAGGGTTCAGTCTAAAAGCACCATCTCACTGCCACTGGAGGCACTAGCCTGCCCTGGAGGAAATCAGATATGATCATGTAATTTATGTTGTATTCCCTTTTTCAAAAATAAGGGTACACTAATCCTGAAGCCAGATGAATAGGGAATTGTTCATATTCATTAGTGCAATTAAGGCTTAAGAAGAGGGAATATTCCTCAGAAACTTTGTTTGATGTCCATTCGAGAGACATGGAATAGCTACACCACCAGACCAATAGTTCTAATAGTTCTGTAAAGTCCTTAACATTGCACCTTTTAAAATATATGCAGCTGGCTTAAGTCTAGTTTTCTAAAGACCTTCTGTGTTGGTAACATTTCTGGCTCTCTAACTTCTTGATGCACCTTACTTGATTACAATTGCATGTCTTCATCATACAATTTTAAAAGGTGTGAAGTGTCCATTTCTCCTGGTGTGTGTTTCAGGACATTGTATCAGCAATAGCAGCATCTCTGTGGCCCTTTTTCTTATATGGATAGCAGCTTTCTTCTGGTCGGTTGCTCCAGTCCTGGGATGGGGCAGTTACACAGGTAAAAGGTTTCTCTCTGGGACGATAGTAGGCATTTGTGGAAATCAAAATGGGAAAAAACCATCCTGAGGCTTTGTGTGAGCCATCCTGAGGCTATATAGCAAGGGGGCAGCATACAAAAACTTTAAATAAATAAATAAATAAATAAATAAATAAAATGGGTTTGGGTCTAGATTTAGTAATAGGTTGATTATATTCATTGAAGTGAAAGGCCATACATTAGTCATGAGTTCAAATTATTTCAAAAGATCTTCTCTGACTAAATCTGAATCTAAGTCCTAATATCTATTTGGATGAATGATTATTTTACACTGTCTGAAGTAAACTTTCAGGATGCTAGTGTTAATGCCTTGATTTGTTTTCTAAACACAACTATTCTAGATTTCAGGATGAATGTTTTTAAGATTTAGGCTGCAATCCTGTACCCACTTATCTAAGAGTAAGTCCCATTGAACCCAATGGGAGTTACTTTTGAATAGACTTGTTTAAGACTGTGTTATTTTAAAAAGTGGTTTCCATAGTTTCAAAGTACAATTTCCTGGAGGGCTTACATATATTTCTGGAAAATCAATATGCACTTCCAATTCTGACTTTGCATTTTATTTTACTCAGAGGGAGTAATATAGACTTGCTCTTATAAACTGTTCAGAAAGCTCCTGAGCTGTGAATGGTATATAAAACCTCAGAAAGAAAGCAAGCAAGCAAGCAAGCTTTTCCAGAGGCAGCCATAGGAGCACTATAATATTAGAGTATCTAAATGTGGATACCAATAGATCCACTCAGTGGAGGAGACTGGAAATTCAGTGCCAAGTACATTTTTAAACCACTACAAAAGTGTATAGTTTTTCTGTATATCTAGTATCACCAACTTCGGTGCAGCCCAGTCAGTTTCATTTCTGTGCTGAAATGACAGAAGATAGGTCAGAGTTCTTGCACAAGAGCAAAGCTGAATTACAGGAGAATTAGAGCAAAACTCTTTTTACAATTGTAGGAATTAGGCCATTGTATTTTTTGTTTTCATTTGGATTTCTAAAGCGTAACCTGCCTGCATGGTTAAATGTATTGTGATGTATTGTGACCTGTTCTAAAAAGTGAATCAGTAACTGAGTCCCTTTACTTCCCAGACCGCATGTACGGAACCTGTGAAATAGACTGGGCAAAAGCCAACTTCTCGACAATCTACAAGTCTTACATAGTGTCCATCTTCATCTGCTGCTTCTTCCTACCTGTGTCTGTCATGGTTTTTTCATATGTGTCCATCATCAATAGAGTCAAGTCAAGCCATGTGTTAAGCGGAGTGGGCGATCCAACCGACAGGCAGAGGCGCACGGAACGAAGCGTCACAAGGGTCAGTCTGGCCTCTCCTTTACTACATATGCAAACTGCAGACTGGTCTGGTATGCTCTGTTATCCTGGAATCATTAAAATGAAATTTAAAAAAATCTAGTGGTTTTTTAAAAATCCTATTAAAGAAAGGCAAAGGATCATATTAAATGATCGTACGGATCATATGGATCCACATGATGGATCATACAAAGGATCATATGAAAGATCCATATTAATATGGATCATATTAAAGAAAGGCAATGAGAAAAAATGGAAAGAGCAGAAAAAATAGCAAATGATGATTTGTTTGATGTGGCAGCAGCACTTTGTAGGACTGAGGCAGGGAGCCAATGGCCATGGAAACAGGTCCTAGGTGAGTCTCCCCTGATGGATAAGGAACTGCAGAGGCACAAATGGGACCCACACCTGCAGCTCCCCCTCCTGACGCAAAGGTCTGTAAGGCACACGCACAGTCCTTTGAAAGAAGGTGCTCTCATACCTATCTCAGACCTTTTTATTTAAACGTCATTTTAATTGTTAATATTATTTATTGATTTTATATATTTGGCCAGGACATCTCCAATTATATTGTTTTATATGATTAATTGTGCATTTATTTATTGCTGTGAGCCTCCCCGAGGCTTCGGCGAATGGGGCGGCATGGAAGCCTGCTAAATAAATAAATAAATAAATCTCTTGTGGGAGGCTGGCAGGCAGAATTTATCAAACTGGCCCTTGGCATTTCATTTCCCACCCCGCACCCCCAGTCTTTCAAGAAGTTCTGTTTTAGAAAAAGGCCTCGGGCCCTCAGCATTTGGGGATCCAGTTGCTTCACACAAACCCTGTTGATTTAGCACCCTTGCATTGAAAGCACCCTTGCGCACAGGGCTTTTTTGCCCGTTAAACAGCTGTTAATCCTCTGCATCTTCTTTGCCCAAACAGTCTCTCCTGCTCAGCCTAAGCTCCCTCACAGGGTTGTTGTTATTGTGGGGATATAAAGGAGCTATGTAAGCTTCCTTGGGCTCCTCACAAGAGGAAGAGAGACAAGATAAATATGCTATGTAATGTAATAATGTGGTTAGGCTGGACTGAGAGTGGGTGACCAGGCCAAACTCACCCAGTGAGCTTCATGGCCAAGTGGGACTAGAACCCAGATCTTCTGATTCCCAGTCCAACATTCTAACCACCTCACCACACTGGCTCTTGGTAACAACGTCACAACATATGGTTTGCAAGCACTTGCCTCACTCTGGTGCTTGTCACTTGTAACTGGCAACTGTGGGTAGAAATACACAAGACAATTCCGTCAACCAATTCCATAGTATCTGAATGAGCAAAGTGGTGCAAATGGGATTCTAGCTCTGCATTTGTATCAGCCGAGAAGTCTGTGTACTTTTCTACATGAGGCCTTTAATACGCAGTTGTCATTCCCTACTCTCAGTTGTTGACAGGTTCTTCAAGCAATGTTGAGACCCTCCAGTTTTGTTTCTGTGTCTAGCAAGCACTTTTGCTAAGAGTTTTTAGGGCACGAATAATGTGGTATTATTTGAAAAAGAGAAAGAGAACAGTTTATTTATTTATTTGGAAGGCTTCTATGCCACCCCATTCGCCGAAGCCTCCACTTGAGTAAGTCTACTATATCACAAAACCATCTAGAGCAAAAGTAGGAATGAAAAGCACGCCACAGGTAGTGCTGAGATCTCAGTTTTTCAATGGAACAGAAAGTAGATACAATGATTAACCACCTCATTTAGAAATGCTGAAAGGGGAATCCACCTTTGCTAGATTGGAATTACTATTTGATTTTTAAGAACTACTATTGTGCTTTGCTTTTTAATAAAACTCAATGCCATGAACAGTCAAATAATTTAAAATGCCAGTCAAAGCACAAAACAAATGCTCAAATAAACATCAGCAAGAACAACTGCAAAAAAGAAAACCAAAGAGCAACAAATAGCAAGAGGAGCACAGGAGCACAGGAAAGGTGGAAACTACCCATCAGAAAAGGCTTTATGGGACAACTGAGTTTTAACAAGGTGTTGGAAGACTAATAAGGCTGAGACTAAGTGGGCATCCCTGGCTTGGGCACTTCATAGTAGAGGTGTTATGACTGGGAAGATCTTTTTTTTTAAATAAGTTTTATTTGAAATTATAATCCTAAAAAACAAAAAGAAAACTACAAACAACATCCGTCATCAAAAACATTGAGCCCGTTGGGTCAGCCCCCACACCCTTCTCTTTCCATTTATGATAACTTAAAAATATATTTAAATCTATATGAAGTCCCGTTTCTCTAGCCAATAATAAAGAGTCCCAAGTTTGACAGAAGTCAGTATCTTCCTTCTCCTTCAATAATAAAGTCAAACTATCCATTTCTGCACAGTCCAGGATCTTTTTTAGAATCAGTTCATCAGTGGGTAGTTCTTCACTTTTCCAGTGTTGAGCGAATGCAATCCTCGCCGCAGTGATTACATGTAAAATCAAATATATTTCTTGTTTACTAATGTCCTCCGGTATAATGCCTAATAAAAAAACTTCAGGTTTAAAAGCTAAGGAGTTTTGTAACATTTCCTCAAGCCATTTATGTATTTTAATCCAATACTTTTTCACATTATCACAAGTCCACCACATATGATAAAAAGTACCCAATTTATGTTTACTTTTCCAGCATCCATTTGACATATTTGGAAACATCTTAGCTAATCTATTTGGTGACAGATACCATCTATAAAACATTTTCTACAAGTTTTCTTTATACGAAGTTGCTAATGTTACCTTGACATTTCTCTCCCACAGCTTTTGCTACTTTTCTAATTCAATATTATATCCAAATGACTGGGAAGATCTTGTCGCCTCTGCCTGTCCTGAAAACGGCAGACAGCAGGGCAACAAATACCTCAGCCTCTGCTGGTAAAGGGGGTGCATGGGAGGCAGTCAGTTCCTGTCATACCCAAGTCCAAGTCTCTTGGAAGTTCAGCAAAACTGGCTGCTTTAGGCTGCTAAATATAAATTGGGCTTGGAAAAAAAATAGGCAAGCAATGCAAACTAAGAAGTGCTATGATGCACTCAGTATAGCATTTTGGACCAACTGAGGAGTATAGAGGAACTACTACGTCTCGTGATTTGGAAGTAATATGTTAATGCACCCCAAAATAAATAATAAATAAACAAATAATAAATAAAGTGGCATTTGCTCTTTTGGCGGCTGCATCACATTGCTGGCCCATGTTTAACCTATAGGCATGATTAAGGACTGAAATTCTTATTCCAGCATTTATTGTATCAGTAAGGTATAAATCCAGGCAGTTCCCAGGACGGAATTCTTTGCTGAAAGCTCTTGGGCAAGGAAAGTGAAAGCAGCAAGCCTCCCTGTTTCCTCTTCTCTCCCTAGGTCTCCATCGTCATTTGCACGGCCTTTATCACGGCCTGGTCCCCCTACGCAGTCATCTCCATGTGGTCTGCCTACGGCTACTCTGTGCCTAATCTGACCAGCATCCTCGCCAGCCTTTTTGCCAAGTCCGCCAGTTTCTACAATCCCATCATCTACTTTGGAATGAGCTCCAAGTTCCGGAAGGATATCTGCATCTTGGTGCACTGTGCCAAAGAGATCAAGGACCCCGTGAAGCTCAAGCGGTTCAAGAAGCTCAAGCAGAAGCAGGAAAATTCACCTTCTCACAGAGAGGGCAAATATGCCGCAGATGTTCAGCCTGCTCTAAGTCCTGATTCCGGGGTGGGGAGTCGTTCCAACACCCCTCCCCCTGTGAACCAGGAAGTGTATTTTGGTGCTCTTGAGACCCCCTCCAACAATCCCAACATTGAATGTGACAGACTGTGAGTGAATTGGCTCGTCCCTGTGGTCAGCGGGTCAATGCACACAATAGAAGACTGTTTTGCCAGAGCCCTGCACCTCTGCCCTTTCTTCTAGCTCAGGCTTCCAAGCCTGGTGCCATCTAGATTTTTCCATTTCAGGTCCCAGTATTCCGCTAGCTGGGGCTGATGGGAAACAAAGTCCAAAGCAGCACCAGGTCAAGGAAGCTTGTTCTAGCATGAATTTGCTTGAAATGTAGCAAGAGACCCAGAACTAGACTTCAAATCATGCACGATTTATTTAGGAAGGTTATAAAACTGCTGTGTAGCCGAGTGAAAATAAAAGCAGGGCAGCATGTCCAGCAGGAGCAGGGATTTGTTTCTCTACAACGGTGCACAATTACAAGTGAAAGGCGTTTTTGTAAAATGTTCGTCCAATGCCGTGTGAAAAAACCCCCTCACTAATATTTCCCCCATCCAATTAATACAGTTTGGAAGTTACATATTTTTCTGCTCACGTAGAATCCCCGCTTTATTCAGTTTTCTCCCTCAGCTCTCACAACAGTGCATTTACTCAGGGATGGGTAGGAGAGGCAAGCTTTCGCCAAGAGCACCGGAAGGCTGTTCTGCACTGAACCACCAGAGGGTGGACAGTAGTCAAGTACTCCCTATGGGAGGCCAAGCTTTTCCCATCCCCAGTGGCTTCCACAGCTGTCAAGAGAACTGGACCCCTGCTGTCCATTTAAAGGCCTCAGCCTGGCTGCTGAAACTGCATTCTTGGCTCTTTAATTGTAGTAGAGAATGATACAGATCACACCCTGAGTTAGTCCACACCGTTTAGGTACTGTACTGACTGACAGCATTCACAGTGCTGCTATTAATCTCTTCTCACCTGAAGTGAGAAGTCTAAATAACATCTTCCTTTTCCCTGCTAATTTTTGGTAGCATAGAGATGGCAGACATAGATTAGAAAATGCAGTCCTTCTGCTCTGCCTGGAGAAACTTTCTCCAAAGTCATACCTGGCTGGAGGTTGGGATGGACAGAATTTTCTTCTATTTAAGTTATCATTTGACAAGCAGGACAAGACCACAATATTCATCTATGAGTGCTGAGATTTATATTGTTCATCTATCCAACCAAAATGGAGGTGTTTTGTGTGCGCACAAACACACACACACACACACCAGCAAAATCCTAAGAGACATTACAAGATTTTAGCAACTCTATGTGGGTATATAAATCTAATCTATGTACCCATGAAGAGATGCTAAAATTAGGTCTACCATAGTTACAAACATGTCTGGAATGATCAGCGCCTTCCAGCCAGAGGTTCTCTATGGCCTTCATCCAAACTGTTTATTTGCTGGATTCACTTAGAATTCCAGAGGTCAAAACTGAAACTTCTGGGTCCTGGGCACAAATTTTGAAGGGCAAGCCCCTCATCAGGGCAGTTCCCATAGCCAGGGCCTCGAGAAGAATTTAAAAGTCTGGGAGGCAGTGTTGACATAACAGCAACCAACTGAAACAGATTTCATCTCTACCAGGAACAAATCTATTATAAAGCTATTCCCAAAACTACAACAGGAAAGGATATTTTTCTGGCAGGAAAAACTGATTTCTCCACAGCTATTATGAGGATTGCTGCTAAGTTTAAAGAAAAGCAGGAATTCTGTTGCAGGCTGGCAGATGGCCACTGGCAGCATTGGTGCTAATGGAAACGTGTTGGCACTTTGATCCCTTGACCTGGACTCTAGAAAGTGTAGACCACTGCATGGTATTAATAGACAGGAGTGTCTACATGTCAGTTTTCATGATTTGGCAGGAGCTGCAGGCCTGCTGTAGGCTTTTCAACTTTCCTTATTAACTTTCTCATACTAAATACTGCCCTGAAACCAGCTTCATATCAATGAGTGCAGACATATGATAAAGGCCTGTGTTCCAAAATGCCTTTTGTGAGCACACACGTGTCCAAGGAATAGTATCTGTACATTTGACCATTAAAAGATGGGAGGAAAGTCACCAATGTTTTGAAAGCCTGTGGAATGTAATGCTTTCCAACAGAAGAGGAGGGAAGGAGGGAAGCATAATGCGTTTTTGCAAAAACTACATTTTTCTATTTGTGTTCCTTGGGATGGTTACAAAAAAAAGTCCACCTTCCTTTCCTTCCTCAGTATATTTGTTTTGAGATTATCATCTCTAATTTCAATTTTAAAACAAATAAACTTTATAAGTAATAAGAAAGAGAACTATTGATTTCTTTCATGGCTACTGAGGAACTGAAGGCATATTCATTTTTAAGAGAAAATGGAGAATTTGCAGAGGAGGAACTTAATTACCATAACTAATGAAAAGCTAATAGATAGCATGTTTCTTCCTGCATGGAACTGACTGTGATGATTTCAGAAGCAAACTGAACCAGCAGTGCCAACAGCTGAATTTTTCCTTTACTTGGAAATGGATGCCAACAGGGGAAGATCTTGACTGGAGAATACAATTGGCCATACTGCTGTTTCTTCACTGATCTCCAATATACAATACCTTATGCAAGCTTTCTACCACAGACAATACTCTTAGCTGTCCACCTGTCAATCTAGCACAAGTATGAGGAACCTTCTCTCCCCAGGCTTCATCCCTTGCTCCAAACTCCCTTATGCACTGCTGAACTGTAATCTCTCAGATCAATGCCAGCTTCAGGTTTCGGCATGTCCCTGGGTGAGGTATTCTCAATCCCCAATAACTGACTTCAGATAAGGCTTGAATATGGCTTGAGTGTGAGTTGCCATTGAACCATGTGTTATTGTTGAGATGTGCATTATCATGTTGTCTGAATCCAGCTGTATTAATAAAGCATGGCGAACAGCCCAACAATAAACCATGAGTTCTTTTCATAGGTTGTTTGTGGTTAACAAGCCATGGCTTGTTAGTGCAACTGGGTTCAGACAACACAATAAGCCAACGTTTCAACAGCAATCCACAGTTCAACAACAAGAGTTCAATGAGGCATTGTTGTCTAAGCCAGGATGAGACAAAGGTAAACTAGAAAGTCAAAGTGATGAAGAGGAAGAACAATTCCTGATTTGTGTGTGTGTGTGGCTTATTGTTTGTTTGTTTGTTTGCCAGTAGACCCCTATTAATGTATGAGCCTTTGGTGGGTTCCCAACCATGCTTACCCTTGATGACAGCCCTGTCTGAGTTATAGCTTTTCAGTGTAGCTTGGTAGAAAGGGACTCCTTTTTGTTCTCCTTTGGACAAGACTTTCCTAGTCTGAAAGAAACTGCCTTTTCTCCAATTGTTTCCTTGACACTGCGTTTTAACTAAGCAAGTGACCTCTTAGAATTGGTGCTACCTTTCCTTACTAGGGAAATACATTCTAACTGAGTTTATATTATTGTGATTTTGAGTAACTTCCAAATATTTTGAGGAGATTTAACCTTGCTGATCCCTCCTTTCCACTTCCTTTCTTATCAAATTCATTTTGGATAAATTTCCTGTATTGAAGTGTTGAGCTGCTGGCAATATTCCAGTTAAATATCAATTAACTACAAGGAAGGCACTCCTATATGGGCAGCTCCTGGTGCAGTTAATCAAAAGTCATTGTTCAGCTAGTCTTTAGTGTTTCATTTTTCAAAAGACAAATAAGGAAACCATCTGAAAGAAGGAACTGACATCAACTGTTTTATTGAGGAGTAAGAACTGTACATTGACAAAAGGGGAGGTGTTTTTCTTTCATGACTCCAGTTCCCAATCCCACTGGGATACCCATCACTCTCAAAACTTGGAGCATGACTGGAATCCTATGGACAGCAGGAGAAGCAAAGGGGGAAAGGTCACCTCCTTGCTTTTCTGCCATGGCAACTCAACTAGATGCCTGAATTTGGCTATCTGGCTGAGGTGCTTCATAGCGGAGGGGAAGGAGACTGAGGTTCCATCACTTGTATCTTGGCAGCACCTGCCTCTTCCCCTAGAGCACACCCTACACCCTGTCTTTGAAGTCACTGTTGCGGATGTGCACTTTTAAGAAGTTTAACTCAGAATAGGCCAGCAGAGTGTTCCCTACTTCCCTACTTAACATGAAGTCCAGCTGAGTGGACAACCTTGTCACAACATTATAAAGCCAATTAACATCTCTGCCGGAGAGTGGCATCATGCCATGTCTATTTCAGCAAGCAACAGAAATTATTACAAAGCACACAAAGATTTACTTCATTTCAAGAAAGGCCAGCAGAAATGTATTACTCTACTTGTGAATGCACTTGACATTAAGCCAGATGTAAAATTACAGTGCATATACTTTCGGACGTGGTGGGTGGAAGACTAGCTGACCTACAGTGCTGGCAGTAAAAGCAAGCTGAAATGTGTTGTGTTTGTCTGATGAAGGGCTTCAGACCAAATGTCTTACAATCTGGGGGGCCTAATTCCATTTTGGAGAAGTTCTTGCAAACTGGTAGTGAGCAGGACAGAGGGCAAAAGAGGGAATGGCCAAAAGCAAAAAAGGACAGGGTCAAAATACCAAAAAAAATATCAGCATAGCTTAAAGTTCTTACTGCCAGTAACAAAGCCTTAGGAAACGCATTTCAGCCATTAGAATGGGAAATAATGTGCAAAAGCCTGGAAACCACCCAGTAGTCCGTGGCTGGGGAGAAGGGATGTGGCCGTCTGGGCAACCGCAGAAGGCCAGAACGTGACTCCAGTTGAAAAGATGTGGGCCCACGGACTGGAAGACGGACAACCCTGGCTTTACTGCAAGACTTGTTTGGTGGTGATTAGGGAGCAGAACTCAAGTGTCTGCTGGGTAGAACAACTGGGAAGAGGGTGGCATCAGGCAGAGGCTGATGAAATCTTGCTGTCGTCCACCTGTCTTCTTCATGGGCTTCTCAAAGGCAGCTGGTTGGCCATGGTTGGAAACAGGATGCTGCACTAGCAAGGCCTTGGGTCACATCCGGCAGGGACCTTCTTATGTTCCTAATAAGGATTTTCCCAAAATTACCCACATCAAAACTTTTGAATCTCACAGTGACTTAGTAGGT